GATGGCCCAACGCACGTCAACCTGAATACAATGAAGTATGTTAAGTACAGTAGCTCTTGAGCTGCTCTGGACATATCCTGCTTAACTGACAAAACATAACAAACAACATGTAACAAAATATAGATGACAGTTATAACAGGGTGAAAGGTATCTCAAGTCAATCATCTGTCAACAACCAAGTGGTGCAAAAACGACAGCAGCAGCAAGCAAGCAGCAAGCTAAATGGTTATGTAAGGGAGACCATAGATATAGAAACGATAGATACCGCTTTCTTGATTTGACGTCCATCTGCGCAGTCACCATATTATGGAGGTCAGGATCTGCTATACTAAGAGATGCAGACTGCTCTACAAAATCAACTGTAACTCTTTTAATCCTGAACCGATTTTCATAAAATTTCCCACAGTCCCACCGACCACAAAATATGGAGTGTGGACTCATGAGGTGCTGGTAACGTGGCAGCCCATCACTCCACCATCTCTTCCCTTTGCATGTCCACATGTACATGAAGTGTGCATTTCAATGTGTGTGTGTGTGTGTGTGTATAAAAAAAGTGAAAAAAATTTCCCCTAGGGGATCAATAAAGTATATCTTCTTGTTACTTCTTTTTATTTGGTGGAAATATGTTTCTCAGGGAAATCAGGGAAATGTTGGATCCACAAAAATCCACTTAAAGTTGACAATAGTGTATAGGGTCACATAAATATATCATCCCAGGTAATAACCTAGACTCAAAAAAGAAATTCCCATACTGCTTAGACTATAGACTGTTGACAGTATGTTTTGTATACCTAACTGAGACACTTTTTATAACTGTGGTTGTTGCTCCTGGGGCCAGTGTGGTTGTTGCTCCTCAAGCAGCTAGGGTTGCTTGTGGCTACTGTAGTTCTACTGTAGTCATCGATCATTACTGTTAATGTNNGTTATGAATTGGTGCTATACCAAAAAATTTTGTTATTATTGTTATTATTTATAACATTATTATTTTATTATATTATGTTAGATTATTATATTGTGTTATATTGTGTTGTTTCTTTATTTAGTTTTTAAATAATTTTGAAGAAATAAAAGTAGTAATAAAGTAATTTCTGACCAATAAAAGTATTTTCTAGATTTGTTCTTAATTTAGTAAAATATGAAATCATAAACTTGAACTTTTTGAATTTTATATTTGAGTCTTTTTGTTCATGAGGTCGATTAAAATACCCAGAATTCACAGCAACGTGGCGCTGATGGAGAAGCTCTGTATCCAATCAGAAAGCTAAATCTATTTTTAATCATTAAGTTAATTTCTAAATGATATTTTCTATTTTCAGTGTATTTAAGTGTTTATGAATGATTTAGTGTCTGATCGTGTTATTGTCCTGTTTATAAAGTTATTGATCGCTGATCCTGTACGATTAATATCATTCATTATATGTTTTTATTGGATATATATCAGATCAATATCTTCAGGGTTGGGAGGATCACGTTAAAAATTTAATCTGATACAGTTA